AAAAAACTTGGAAACAGAATATTTTAAATGATATGCAGCGTATATTACTATTCTTACTAGAAACCAATTTTTATTAGAATTTTTTAAAGGTGAATAGATGCTTTCACATTTCTCTTCTGCTTTAAATAATGCTCTGTATTGTCTACAAGGTAAAATCTACTTCCCTGCCATCAATAAAGACTTGTAGGCTCTTAAAATCCATTTGGGGACATTTTTTCCCCAAAGATATTAGTGACACCCATACTTCATAACACAAACCATCAGGGCAGCTAAAGTCATTAATACTGTTAACTGAGCTTCTGATGATCTCAGAAATCAAACGACAAGGAGGAGGAAGAGGAGGAAGAAAGAATAGAAAGGCTTGAAGCTATACATGAAATTTTAACATGGTTCAGATCCATGTCAGTCTGATTTGATTTGTTATGTGAAAAATAATTAATTCATCAATGAGGTCATTCTACTTTGAGGAAAGCTGTGAAGAACCTTATTAGGGTAGATCTGAAAGAATTTAACCTTGACATGGGTCAAGGACAACATAGCATAGCTGTCACACTTCAGAAATGCCTACAATTCAAATTCAACACAGAGCAAATAGGTAGAATTCTAGATTTTTTAGCCAGTTGAAACAACCCTGACCAACAGCCAACTCCAACACCAAATTCTTCTTGACAAAGAAATCTATAGAGGTAAATGTGAACGCAATTATCTATATAGCAACAGTCTCATGTGTCTAGGTTCATTTAGGATTTTAGAGCTGAACCAACACCTGATTTATGAACATTTTTAAAAAGGCACTGGTGGTCATTAAGAACAGGTTACATATCAGGCTAAGAGCTTCAATATAAAACACTTTTAAAATCTTAGCTAAGCACAGGTGGCTCATGCCTGTAATCCTAGTTACTCAGGAGGCTGAGATCTGAGGATCCCAGTTCAAAGCCAGCACAGGCAGGAAAGTCAGTGAGACATTTATCGCCAGTAAACTACTCAGAAAAAGCCAGATGTGGCACTGTGGCTCAAGTGGTAGAGAGCTTGCCTTGAACACAGAGGTTCAGGGACAGAGACCAGGCCCTGAGTTCAAGCTCCGGGACCAGCTAATAAAAAAAAAACACAAAAACTTTACATAACTCAAAGCTTCTTACACCTCCTCAACATAGACTTATAATCATCAAATTCACCATATGTACTTTATGTCAAAGGAGCATCTGCAACAATAGTAGTGGAAATAAAATCTGTGTGTGTGTATGTGTGCGCGTATATGCACACAGGCATGTGCATGTGCCCATGCACGTGTTCTGGGGTTGAACCCAGGGCTCACTCACTCAGTTGGATTTTTCCACTCAAAGCTTGCACTGTACCACACTTCCACTTCCCGTTTGTCTGGTGGTTAATCGGAGGTAAGAATCTCACAGACTTTCCTGCCTGGGCTGCCTTGGAATATTGGTCCTCCTCCTGATGTAGCTAGGATTACAGCCATGAGCCACTGGTGCCTAGCTCACAATCATGTTTGCCTATGGGAAGGCATCATATTCCACTATTACAAAATCTCAGGAAGTCACACAAATGGTACTTGGTCAGTCTATTCACAAGCTTCTTAGGAATGTTGTTTATTAAGGAGCTTATGCAACACTGCTAAAAAAAATCTATGTACCTAGGGATGTCAATATACAATTACTAAAAATAGGTGTGGGACTGTTTTATATTAACTACTGTACCTGTTTTACAAATAAGTTCAGTGAAACAAAGGACATGAAGATTAATAAATTCTTTTGGCTTGCAATGTGGTAACACATACATGTCTCTGAGTCTATAATTTAGAGAAGAAACATTCAATGACTGGTTAAAATGACTAGATCTGCTTAGCAACCAAGAATGAGTCTTAACATTGGCCAATATGATTTAAATAATAATGCACATTCTAATAGGTAGTCCCAAAATGAACATATTAAGTACTGGAGACGAATGCTGTGAGCACTTGGGTACAATCTAGTTCACTCTCTCTGTATGACACCACATATATTTCCATGTTCTGGGAATTATCACCATATCAAAACAGAAATTCAAGGTCAGTCCCAGTAAAACAGAAGGAAGTCACTTCAGGAGCTACATCTTCTGCCTCTTCCCTCCTCTAGTTGCTCAGTCTCATTTTATCTTTTGCCTGTTGTTCTTGGAGGTAAAGCTGAGACTCTGGATTCAAACCCTTCTAGTCCTCTTTCCTCCCTTGACTGAAAAAATATTCCTGTCCCACGCTAGCCTCTCAAGGTCACCTATCTGGTGCTAGCTAAGTACTGTCAATGTTTTAAATTGTCAATGCCTCTGTTCCACAAACGTCTGCTCAGCATCTACCAGAGGCCAACGTATGATTTGCAGTAGTGGAATATAGTGATGAGCATAACCGTGGTAGATTCTCAGCCCTTGGTCGATGCAGAGAAATAATAAGCAAAAACTTGCACACCACAAGGGTGGCAAACCCTAAGGGGAACATAAAACATGAAGGGTATAAGGAGCATACCAAGACATCATTCTCACCTGCCCATACCCAGCCATCACTTAAAATTACCCACCTCTGATTGCCCTGAAATATACAAACAAAGCTTCTTAACAGTAGATGATTCTATTTTATCTAAATTCAATGTATCATGTTTCAGTCTGTATAAAATGTCCAACCTGTATGAAATAGGTAATCAATCTTACAGAACTGTAGAAACTCGTCATTAAATGACTCTGCCCATCAGAATGTAACAGGAGTGTGGCTAAAAGGCACTGTTTTACTCATTGAATAAAATGCATGGTACTTTTTAAAGATCCTTTATAGGATGAAATAAATCTAAGCATTTCCATGAAATAGGGAAGCTCAGAGCACATGGCCCCTGACTCCTGGAAAAAAGAGAGAGCTGCAGACAGGGTAAATGACACACTGCTATGCAAAACCAGACAGCTTCCCTTTTATTAATGCTCAAGAAGTGAACTTTCAGTGGCATTTAATTTCATTTCAGTGGCGAAATACAAATGAAAACACTGATTTGTATGGATAGTTTATGTAAACATACACATGACATGGATTTAATCATCCTAATCTAAATATGAAGAGAACAATTGTGGGGTTTCTTTTAACCTCCAAAATCCACTCAGCATTTGCATGACTTTCTAACTTACACTGTTTTATATTTAATGGGAAGAATTATGGTCACTCAAGTTCATTCTACTCATGGAGTTCATATTAAGGTATAAATAGTTTTTAAAGAAATAATCTATATAATAAAATAAGTTTACTTTGAATCATAGCACAGTCATTTTCTTCATTCAATAAAAATATTCCTTGGTTATAAAGCAGCCTTATTTTGCAAGTGCATTTCAGGAAAATAAGTCTAACAGTATTTGAAATACCACACTCAAAAAAAAAAGGCAACCAAGTGACAGAATTTTGATTTAAAACCATATATTGCAAAATAGTTCAGCCTGTTATATTTCTAAGCACAAAGCAAACTCCATTCTGAAGGATACTTTTAATCTTATAAAGCAAACTGTTCCAATATTTCAGTAGTAGATTTAGGTCTAAATATTTACAATAAAAGATAAATCTTTACACATAGAGGACAGAAGTTTCAATATACATCAACGAGACAAGGTTACATCACTGTTATGAAGCCTAGTTTGTTAACATGTGCTCAGGAAGAGAAATGAAAACACAACAAAATTCAGCAGTTTTATAACCGCCAAACTCTCCCAACACTAGAAACAGAAAACAGTGACCACAGCAAGCACACCAGAATGAAAAGTTCAAAAAACATGAACATTTACACAAATAACCAAATACAAAATGCCCCTTATATCTCCAAAAGGTGAAAGTGCATCTTATATTTATCTATTTTATTTATTTTTATTTTTTTGGTGACACTAAGGTTTGAACCCAGGGCCCTGCACTTGCTAGGTAGGTGCTCTACCACTTGAGCCCATGCCCCAAACCCTTTTTGTTTTATTTTTCAGAAAAGGGTCTTGCCAAGGATAGCCTGGCACACCATTCTCTGATGTATTCTTCCTACATTGCTGAGATGCCAAGTATAATATCAAACCAAGCTTTTTAATTGGTTGAGATGGTATCTGGTCAACTTTTTGCCCAAGCTGGCCTCCAACCACTATCTTCTCAATCTCAACCTCCCACACAGCTGGGATCCCAGGCATGAGCACTGTACCAATAGCATCATGTTTTAAAAAGTGCTATGTGTTTGTGTTATATCAATCCAATGAAGAAATAAAGTATGTGCAAAAATTTATAAATCTTAATATTGGTGGTTTGTAGTTCATACACATGAGACAGTTGACCAACAAGAATAAAAACATCACGCTACACAGAGGAACAGAGTTCTGAGCTACAAGTTAGGAAACCATCCCCCACTCAGTCTTAGTTCTGTTAACCAACTAGTTAGCTGGCTATTTGGCAATTAGGTGAGAAGTACAGCCAGACAGTTCATTCACCACTCAAAGTCTAACACAGCTTTCCATGAGCCTTTTCTCAAAGCACAAGTGACAACCACAAAATAGAAAAACAAAAACAAAAACCAGGCACCAAGTTACCATTCCCTTAAAACACTTATTACAAACAACGCACAGACAGAAAGAAAAAGTCCAAAAACACTTGACAGGAAGAGGGCATGCGGACATCTTTTCACAATTACAGCACTGGGGAGACTCCATCATCATGTGCACGAAAAACACAGGAGGAAAATCGGCCCATCACCTAGCAGCGTGTTTTTCTGTCTTTTGGGGGGAAAAAAAAGTTCCAGGATTTTCCTGGGACATCAAGCTTTTAAAGCTTTTTAAAAGTGCTTTTTTTTTTTTTAGTTTTAAAATTGCATTTAAAAGAACCATGATTTTCAAAGTTCCTATTTGTGACCTACGGACTCTTTCTTAATTACAATAATGGTTTTTAGGAAGTTAATTATACCTTTTTTTAAATAATAGCTAGTTGAACTAGATATTCTATACATATGTATGCATGTGCATGTGTGTGCATATGTATGTATGTGCATGTGTATATATATGTGTGTGTGTGTACACACTCACACACACTGTCATCAAACTCTCTAGAACTCTAAGTCAGCAGTTCTCATCCACCAGCTTTGACCCATTAATCCCTCGGTAGGTCACCCTGCTGGGCCTCACGAGGACTCCGTGGTTTGGTTTGCAAGTGAAGTAGCGTTTGTCACCCACGGCGCCATCGTTTTTCCCTTTGGCGCTCCGGAGCTCCAGTCCCAGCCAGATGCCTGCGGCGAAGTCGGTGGGGCCCAGGTACCTAACGGTGGCCATCTCATTGGAGCTGGTGAGCAGGACCTGCGCGCCCTCCTGCAGCTTCACGCCGCCCTCCAGCCCGCCCGACGCGGTGGCGCTGCTCCAGCTGCGCCGCAGAGCCGTCCGCGACCTGCCCGGGGAGGGGCGGGGAGGGAAGGGGGGGGAGAGCAAGAACAGGTCCTTAGACACAAAATCCACCTCCCTGTCCACAGCCAGAGGCGGAACTCGTTATCCTAAGACACCAAATGCGTGCTTTCATTGAAAAAGCAACTGGGAATAGCAAACGTAGGTGACTATTATCAATATTATTAAATAAAGCAAGAGGAAATGAAACTAGCCTTTTTACTATGGGAAATAAAAATTACCTTTTGTTTAATGCAAAAGTAATTCTTTATATGAAAACAAATGGTTAAAAAAAGTTAAATCTACAACTTTGGGGAATAAGAGCAATGGGGAAACACAGACAGCCCCGGGTATAGATCTCCCATGTCTGAACGCCAGCTGCCCACCCCCTCCCACTAACACCAAATGGGTCTGAGGACCCTGAACTGCCCTGCAATTCATTTCCTTTCCCTACAATATAATATTTACTTAGTGTTCCACAGATCCCTTCTAAGTACTCACCGCCTACCTGACCCTGTAACACCCAGGACTTGCCGGTGAATTCGTCCCAAGTCGAAGCCACAACCTCCCCCACAGCGCCCTTGACTGTAAACTGGAAGTAGCCATCCTGATAGTCACCCACAGTGCCCTCTGTCCTGAGACCCTCCAGAGAGCTTACCTAGAACCACTGATGCTACCTGGAGTCTTCCACCCAGGTCCCAAGGTAGCTCTCCTCCCAAAAAACAAAACAAAAACAGAAAGAAGCCCTTCACTCCTTCCCCACCACAGACACTAGCACCTGTTGTTCAAACTGCAGAGACCTGACTGAGAACCGAACCTGGAGACACACTTAAGTTCTATTACATTTTCTATATTTTTAGATATACCATCACAATACAGAACACCTCATTTGTTCCTGTCTTTCTGTCACCCACCCTGAATGAAATCAAGAAGGCTTTAACCTCATGGATAGGAATCTAAGGCTCAGAGATTTACTCTAAGCCATGCTTGCTAATAACAGATAAAATTCTAATTAGAAAATACTTCAACAATCATTACTATAGCCCAGCGCTGATGCTCACATCTGTAATCCTCGCTACTCAGTAGGTTGAGATCTGAGGATCATGGGTGGAAGCCAAGCTTGAGCAGAGACTGTGAGACTCTTATTTCCAATTAACCACCAAAAAAATAAAAAAAAGCCAGATGTAGAGCTGTGGCTCAAGTTAAAGGAGAAAAAAAAAAAAAAAACCAGCTCAGGGAGAAAGCTTGGGCCCTAAGTTCAAGACCCAGAACTGACACACACAAAAAATCATTATTATACCATGCACAAAACAATAAATTTAACATAGAAATATATAGTATCTGTAAAAAAAAGCAGAAATATTTACTAAATACACAAAAGAAAAATGTTCCTATTCTTAGATAACATCAATTTGTTGGTTTTTCTAAATTCACACCAAATGGACAATTTTTTGCAATCTCACAAAATTACCATAATTTTGCATGATGAATGACTAAGCTATCTCTTCCTGAGCACTTACTATGTTCATAATGCTTGATCACATGCATTACCTCATTCTGCCTCATTCAAAGAGTAGAGGAGGTCTTATGACCTCCTTCAGAAGAATTACCACAAGCTCAGAAAAGCTAAGCTGTTGGCCTCAGATCCAAGAGGTCCAAATGTAGCAAGGAGCCTCTTGTCACAACCATAACAGGTACTAGTATGTTGAGTGATAATGTCAAAGCAAGACTGAAGGTACCATCGTGTTAAATTATAAAGTTACAGATATTAAGACAATGTGATCATGAACAAGAATACGATTTATATTACCCAGGAAAGGTATTTTAGAAAAATATAAAACACACATAATTACTTGATGTATGATAAAAAGTAAAACTTCAAAGCCGTGAGAAAGAAGTTAGCACTGATCTATGGATGCTATAAAAATTAATTGAGATAAATGTAATTCTTACACTCATATGCCAAAAGCCAAGAAATTAATGCTATTTGTTAATTTTCTAGATTCACACAGATGGATTTTTTGCAATCTCATAAAATTACCAAATAATGTTGGTATATAAATTTTCTTTTAAAAAAAAAAACCTTGGGCTGGGAAGGTAGAGCGCTTGCCTTGCATGCCTGGGGCCCTGGGTTCAATTCCTCAGCACCACATAAGCAAAAAGAAAAAAAAAAAAAAGAATGGAAGTGGAGTTGTGGCTCAAGTGGTAGAGTGCTAGCCTTGAGCTGAAGAGCTGAGGGACAGCGCCCAGGCCCAGAGTTCAGGCCCCAAACCGGACCCAAAAAATAAATAAATAAATGAAAAATAAATAAAAATCTTGAAGAAAATAAACCTGCATACATGCCCTATATCAATCATACAGACACAAGGCAACGAGAGGAAGAGGAAGAGATTCATGTTTTAAAGTCTGGAATCCTTCAGTGGACAAATGGATAAAGAAAATGTGGTATATATACACAATGGAATTCTGCTCATCCATCAGAAAGAATGATGACACCATTCATAAGGAAATGGAAAGACTTGGAAAAAACTATATTAAGTGAAATAAGCCAGACCCAAAGAAACATAGGTTACATAGTTTTCCTCGTTTGTGGTAACTAGAATGTGCCTACAAGTAAACACACTGGATGGTAAAAGAAAAAAATACACTAGGGCATGATAAATTACACAGGTCTCTAAACATTCATACAGTGAAACCAAAGGAGGTTATTCATATGAACAGATCACAAAGGCTCAATAGCTATATGCATATGATTTTGTGCATATTTTTAAATGAACTCTAAGAAATGGAAACTGGAGGGTTTTATTGTTGTTGCTGCTGTTTTTTGTTGTCTTTTGCTTTTGCCTTATTAGCTTATTTGTCTTTGGGATGGTAAGGGGGCAGCACAGAAAAAGTAGGACAAAGAATGAACAAATACAACAGTGGCACTCACTAGACACTATGTGGAAAATGAACCTTACAACTTGTGGGTGGGAACTGGAGGGAAAAATAAAAGGAGAGAGGGAGGGAAGTAGTGATATGGTTCAAAAAGAAACGTACTCAGGGCTGGGAAGGTGGCTCAGTGGTAGAGCACTTGCCTTGCATGTATGAGGCCCTGGGTTCAATTCCTCAGCACCATATAAGCAAAAAGAAAAAAAGCCAGAAGTGGCGCTGTGGCTCAAGTGGTAGAGCACTAGCCTTGAAAGAGCTGAGGGACAGCGCCCAGGCCCAGAGTTCAGGCCTCACAACTGGACCAAAAAAAAAAAAAAAGAAACGTACTCATTACCTGATTTATGTAACCCCTCTGTACATCACCTCTCTAATAACAATAAGGTATATTTTTTATAAAAAGGTCTGACATTTATTTTTATTTAAATTATTTTTTCACTTATTTTAATGATTAAAATGTTTTCATAGCACAGAGTAGTATTAAAAAATAGTACAAAAGTTGTTGAGGAAAAGTACTACTAAAGATTATAAGAAGCCAGGCACTGGTGGCTCATGCCTGTAATCCTAGCTACTCAGGAGGCTGAGATCTGAGGATCGCAGTTCAAAGCCAGCCCAGGCAGGAAAGTCCATGAGACTCTTATCTCCAATAAGCTACCAGAAAACTGGAAGTGGCACTGTGGCTCAAGTGGTAGAGTGCTGGCTTTGAGCTGAAGAGCTGAGGGACAGCGCCCAGGCGAGTTCAAGCCCCACAACCAACAACAACAAAACAAAAAGATTATGAGATTATGTTCATGATATATTAAGTGAAAAAGCATTCTTAAGGGCATACAGAATATGATTCATCTAGCTCAGATAGAAAATTCACACATATCTGTTAGGGGAAAAACATGAAAAAAGTATAAAGCAGAATGTTATTAGCAATCATCTCATCCAGGAGACAAAGTTCTAGGTGACCTTCGTCACATTCAGTTATCATTTAATGTTTCAAATATTGTACCATCAACTTTCATAAACCAGAAAAAGTTTATAGAAAGAGAAACCAGTAGGTGAATTCAATATCTAAATCAAAAAAATAATGATATAGGTAAACTACACATGTTAAATGATCATGATTTTAATTGAAGTATTTTAAAGCTCAAAAGCCCAGCAAACTGTGCAGCTTAGAGTCAGAGTATATTTGAGAACTCTGTTTAATCGTCCCATGACACTTATTGGCCACCTACAAAATGGCAGGCATGGGATTAATCTCTGGAAATGTGTATATAACCGTCAGCACGGTGTTATAAGCTACAATAAAGACAGTATAAGGTGAAGAGTGTGCAGAAAAAGAAAATGGAATCTCTCCCCTCTAACGCCTTAGGGAAGGCACTTGAGTGGAAAGTGATAGTTAGGCCAGCCAGAGAGAGGCAGACAGAAAGGAGAAGCCAGGAGCATTAGGGGAGAAAAAAAAATCACTATTAGTCTGAATGGAAATGCATTTTTTTTAATGCACACAGAATTCTGAGAGTTACAATCCCTTGTGAAGCTATTGCCATGAGATAAAGCAGGAAAAATACACAAGTGTAGACCACGCAGGCCTCCATCTGCTGTCCTCCTATGTCTGGACTTCAACTGTGTTGGGGAATTCAAAGACAGAAAACGCAAACATGTGACAGGAATTGATGGAACCCATGCAACTAGATTGTAAGAGTTCCTACCTAACGCACTCACATTGGAGCTCACCCCATGCCAGGGGTGGGATCCACAGGCAGGATCCAATACGGATTGTAGGCATCAGTTCTGAGTAGCAGGGAGAAGAGCTGAGATCATCTAGTAGCGCTCAGGACACTGTGCAAGAGAGGATAGGTGCCTTGTGCCTTTCAGGCCTCAGTGACGACTATGTCACAATCTCTGGCTTGTCTTCCTTGTTACTGCCTTGATTAGCATCAGATGAGAAGGCAGAGTTGCTTCCCATCTTTCCCCATCACTTTTTCCTCTGCATGAAACGCACCCATCGTTACCATCCCAATCCTGCAATGTTCCTAAAGGATCAGAACCTGTGTGGGTTCTGTTTTTTTCACAAAAAAATAACCCTCCTAGCTCATTCACTCACGTGATGCAAATATGGCTTCTGCCCCAGTACTTTGAGTTCCTCAGCCAGCAATTTCATCGTCTCTGATTATGTTTTCCACATTTCTTCTGAAAATATCATTTATTTCTGTACAAATTACAGCAACACCACAACCAATCAACTCCACCCATAGCTGTCCAATCACCATTCTGCCTCTCTAAGTTCAAGGGCAGATTTCCTACTCATTACCAGCACTAGTCTTTGGTTTTTGAGATCAGTGATCCCCAAACATTTTGGCCATAGATGCTAAAAGTAAAAATAAACAAATCTAACAATTGATGATATAAACTTACAACAGAGGGGCCCATCAGCTGCACTGGACATAGATGAAAATGAACTAAGCAACCCAAAGGCAGCGATGGGAGGGAGGGAATGAGAGGGAAAGAGGGAACGGCTAACACTAAGCAAAAGGAAAGAAATGTAAATATCACCTGATGTGGAAGAAATGATTGTATTGTCAAAGCTCATAGAATTCACAAACTTTATAAACCATGATAATGACAATTTGCCTTGTGAAGGTTAAGATGTGTTTGTGACTTCAACTAAGTATCACTATTCCAATACTGTGAATTATGTGAAATTTATGTAACCACCTAATCTCAATTTTAAAAAAAGAAAAAAATAATTGAAAGATTGAAAGCAAAAAAAGAGAAGTAAATGATGAATCCTTTTCTAAGCAGTCTTGTATTAATTAGCTTTTGGTCACTGTGATTAAATGCTTGAGATTTTAAAAAATGATGATATATCACCCATAAAGGTATATCTCTTCTCTTAAACATGCCAATCTGTACACTTACTAGTGAAGCTACAGAAAATAAGTTAATACTGCTATTCCTTTCTTGAGTGAACAGATCCTTTTGAGCAAACTTGTACCTGCTGCTCCCAGTCTTTACAAAGTTCTTTCCCTGGAGTCTATGTACCATGCTCTTCACTCCACAGGAATTCTTCCTACCTCTCTGACTTCTGAATCCTTTCTTTCCTGGTGTCCTTTCTTTTTCTTCCATTCTGCCTAAGAATTTTCCAACATCTTCCATAAACAGGAGCATAAAGTTAAACTTTATACCCTTAAACTCTTTCAATTCCTCAAGGTCAAACTTTCAAAATTGGTGATACTTTTGAGTAAGTATATTCTACATTTTTAAAATAATTGTAAGATTGTCTTATGCTTTCATGGATAGCTGGCCAGATTAAATCAAATCTGATTAATTCAGTAAGGAGTTTAAGTGAATCCACCCTACTCAATGAAAACACAAAATGTAAATTCCTCCAATGTTTATTAACAAGTACTAACCTCTTAGAAGAGAAAATATATGCACTGTGCTATTTTTAGCTACTTGTGACATTTTTAATTGCGCTTTCAAAGGAGGGAGGAAGAACTCAATACAGAATCACTCTTTCTCACTTGGGTTAAAATTCTACCAAGCAATGAATGTACAAGATACAAAATTCCACTTCTCTTTCTTCACAGCATTCCGTCCCGTTCATCTTGAAAGGTGGTTTGTTTTGTTTTGTTCCTACATCTTCTGAATACTCACTTGGCAAAAGCATTTCTCCTGTTGATCTCCTTTTGGGACGAGGCAGACGTTGTGCTGAAACTTCTCCTAAACCCTAAATATCAAAGTTAAAGTTAGAAGAGGAAAAACACCTATTGCCAGTCATTAAAAGTTTTTGTCAATTTCGTTTATCAATGTTCTATAAAATCAATTTTTTTGGAAAAAGCAAAGGAAGCTAGTGCATACACAGAAGGCAAAGGGGGGCAACACGGGTGGTCCCTATTCTGAGAGGACATGTCAGCTATCTTTATAAGAAGAGATTAGGACAGAGACACAGTGTGGAAAAGACTGTATGAAGGCCTCTCAGAAAAATGGCCAATGTAGGTCACAACAAACTCACACAACCCCATACATCACCAGGGAATTTAAAATGAAAACCACACATATACTACAATGGTGAAATCCATAGGTCATAAAGTTAACTTCAACAAATAGTTAAGGATTGCCATTACACAAATAACTCTTTCACAGATGGTTACCTTTATGGAAAGTAAAATGGAATTTAAGTCCTTACCACACACAAAATCAATTCTAGGTAAATTGATAAATGTGAAACACAGAAATAGAAAACTTTTAAAAAGAACAGAAGCCTAGTGCTGGCGGTTCATGCCTATAATCTTAGATACTGAGAAGTCTGAGACCTGAAGGATCACAGTTCAAAGCAAGCCTGAGAAGAAAAGTATGAGAGACGCCATCTCCAATTAACTTCCAAAAAGCTGGGCCAGAGGCATGGCTCAAATGGTCGAATACCAGCTGTGAACAAGAAAGCCAAGAGAAATAGTGCTAGGCCCTAAATTCAAGCCTCAATATGGGCTAGGGAGAGAGACAGACAGGCAACAGAAGTGAGTATGGCAATATAGGAAATATCTTTAAATCTTCTGGGAACTGGGAGAGCACATACCTGGAATCCTAGTTACTCAGGAGGCTAAGATCTAAGGACTGAGGTACCAAGCCAACCTAGGCAGGAAAGTCTGTAAGACTTTCATCTCCAATTAATCACCAAAAAGCCAGAAGTGGAACTGAAGCTCAATCAGTAGAGTGTGAGCAAAAATGCTAAGGGATAGTGCCTAGGCCTCAGTACCAGCACACACACACACACACACACACACACACACACACGCATATATACATATATATGTGTGTATGTGTGTATATACACATACATACATCTATATATAGTTGTGTATTAATATATACAAAAATGTAAAAAATAATTGTTTTGACTACACAAAATTTAAAAGCTTCTGATATCAAAGACCCCAAAAGAAGAAAAACATAAAAAGATAAGTCACCAACTGAGTAAGATATTTGCAACATATGAGACCAACAAAGCATTAACACTTCAAATATACAACAAAACCTTCAAATTAGTAAGAGAAACAGCAGAGCAGTGAAGAGGAAAATGGGCAAGAGACATGAAATGGTATTTCATAAAAGAAGGAATGCATATGTATGGCCCAGAAAGTAAAAACAGGCTCAATCTCGACTGTAATCTGAAAAATGCACAGTAAGGCCACATGAGAGACCATTTACACCCATAAAACTGAGGAGGAGCAGAAACTCAGAGTATGGCTTATGGGAGTGAGTACTCCCATTGTATACACACATATATACATAGATACACATGCACACACATATATACAGATACACATGTACAATCTGGCATCCCTATAAGGATGAAGAATATAGGTGCCTACCACTCCAGAAGAACTCCTGAACATGCATATTTTGTAATAATAAAAAAACAAGATATGACCCCCAGTTAAATCAGACAATAAACAAAGCCAAACATATACTTCTATATGGGGTAACAAATATTTTTTTAAATAAAGCAAGGAATACTTAATATAGTCTTAGGATGGGACACGGGACATGAAGACAGATGAGAAGGGACTCAGGGACTTCTCCCACACAGGTGATCCTATCTTGTGCAGCTGAGAGGCAGGAAAGAGATACCCACTCTGTGACTACATGAACTATACAATAAATAAACTCCATCTACTCTTTTATATACATATGTATACAAATACATACATATATACATATGCATACATATATACACTTATATATATGTATCTCATCATCAAAATCTATCATGAGGACAAGCAAAAAATACTTATTAAGAACATAAAATTTTGTCTCCTTACCAGGGTAAGAATGATTCTGTTTATTTGAAATTTCTGAAAGAGTATCCAGGGAATCCGTTAATCTACAAATAAAACAAACAAAGCACACCACATTAGAGTAGCTGCTCTTGAGATGGGCAATAATCAGAAGGAAGAGGTTCTAATGATATAAGAATAAGAGGCATGTAAAAAGTCCATTTGAAATTAATTCACTTAGCCAGGCACCAGTGACTCACACCTGGAATCCTACTCAAGAGGCTGAGATATGAGGATCACAGTTCAAATCCAATCTAGGGCAAGAGAGTCATCTCAAATTAACCACCAAAAAGCACCAGTACCAGCACTAAATAAATAAATGGATGAATGAATGAATAAATAAGTTCACATAAAATAGGGATCTGACTTCTTTTCAAACTTTTTCTTCAAAGATGAAACTAAAAACAAATGAAAATGCTTATTTTATATCAAATTTAACACATGTTGGATTAAAATGGTAAAGTACTATGGAAAAACTATTCCTAACTCATTAAACTGGAAGACAGATATTAGTCAATTTTGTGTTTGTGATTTTTCTGGTAAAACTGTACAGCTAAGACAGTTTGAGGCCCTTTATATTTAATGCTAAGCAAATTGTAAAGTCACCTTCCCAATGGCTTGCTCTTCATTTTCTGATCGTCAGATCATTCTACACTTTTAAAAAGACAATCGTGACAATCTCATTTTCTTTCAACTGCTTACTGACCCGAATCTGCAAGGTTTTCATTTGTCAATCACCCCCTCCAACATACTTCATTTCCATTGAGAAATCGTGCAACTCCTGCAATATCTGCAGTGTCATCTTGCAATTCAGATGCATCATTTTTACATCATATAATACAGCACATCCCAACTGACAAGAGACTGATGGACATAAAGAATATGACTTGGCACTGGGTGGGCCCTGGTGACTTATACTTAAAATTCTAGTTGCTCAGAGCCCGAAGCTTCTGGTTCAAAACCAGCAGAAAAGTTTGGGAGATTCTTATCTCCAACTAACCAGCAAAAAGTTGGAAGGGAAGCTGTGGCTCGAATTATAGATCACCAGCCTTGATTTAAAAAGCCAATGAGAATATGAGGCCCTGAGTTTAAGCCCCAGTCCTAGCACCACAAAACAAACAAACAAACAAACAAAACTTAAGGAACAGGACAGGCATTTATATGAAGTAGGGATAGACAGTTGAGAGGAACTCAGTCCTAGAAGTGATCAGGTCATTAGAAATAAGTACCAAGGGCTGGGAAGGTGGCTCAGTGGTAGTGTTACCTAGCATGCATGAAGCTCTGGGTTCAAATTCCTCAGTACCACATACACAGAAAAAGCCAGAAGTGACGCTGTGACTCAAGTGGTAGAGTGCCAGTCTTGAGCAAATGAAGCTTAGGGACAACACCCAAGCCCCAGGACTGGCAAAAGGAAAGAAGGAAAAAAGGAAGGAAGGAAGCAAGGAAGGAAGGAAGGAAGCAAGCAAGCAAGCAAGCAAGGAAGGAAGGAAGGAACGAGTACCTAATGATAAGAACTAAGAAAATAAACTCTATGCTCATTAAGATGGGGTGTGTGTGTGTGTGTGTGTGTGTGTGTGTGTGTGTGCGTGTGTGTGTGCGTGCGCACGTGTGTGTGTGTGTGTGTGTGTGTGTGTAAGGAAGACCAGATTTGGTTTTAAGAGAGATTAGATTTCACCTAGCCAGTAAGTTTTCTTAGAGTTTCTCTTAAATGTTGATTGATTTGTATATTAGTCAAAATAAATAGTAAAAACTATTAAAAACATAAAAAATAACTTAAAAAAACCTATTAAATGACCCAAGTGTTGGTACCTAATGTCTGTAATCCTAGCTACTCAATAGGATGAGGTCTCAAAATCATGGCAGGCAATAAAGTCTGTGAGACTTTTATCTCCAATTAACCACGGAAGTGGAACTGTGGCTCAAATTTGTAGGGCACTAGCCTTGAGTGAAAAAGCTCAGAGACAGTACCCAGATCCTGTGGTCAAGTCCCAAGACAAAAAAGAAAAGAAAAAAGAAAAAGAAAACATGAAATGAAGCTGAATCCAGAAAGCTATCTGGAAAGAGGAAACAATGTGAGCAAAGATTTGGGAAAGGCTAGTTAGAGCGCTCAGGAGAAAGGCGCAAGGTCAGGTTGTGACCTGGCCTTAAGACTCTCCTGAAGCAGTCCCTAAGGTTAAAATCCTTCCATTTTGAAGATCAGTGGGGTCTTTAATGGGCTCAAAACTGGCTTGGATCAGATTCTCCTTAAAATCAGAGACCATGCCTGTTTTATGTGCTTATAGAATGCCTTGCACAGCACAAAATGCTAAAAAGACACTTAATAGTATTTGATGATGATGAATGAGACAATCAGAAGATGACAGGAAGGCAGCTGGATTGAGACAGCGGTTCTTTTAGAGGCAGCCCCAATTCTTTTAAAGAAGAGAGGGTTGCTTTCATAGGCACCACCTTAAAGAAGACCAAACCGAAGACAAGCAAAACACAAAGTGCCTCCTAAATTTAAAAAAAAGAAAAACCACAGGGGAAACTGAAGCCATGAGAAGGAATATGATTGAACTGAACAAAGAATCAGAGTTGATCCATATTTACCATGCCCAGAATACACCAAACTCTGCACTCTGAGGAATGGAACACAAAACAAATCCTAGCCCTCATGACCAGGAGACAAAACTTCAATGAGCCTGTAGCAAAGGACCAATGAGGACAATACACAAGTCCCCAGTTGATTCCGCTGGACTTCACTCCCAAGGCAATTGCTAGCCAGACCTGCATCCCAGGAGAGTCAAGGATGCTCTGGTAACAGGCGCAGGAGTAAGTGAAGATTGGATGTTCTGAAGGTGGGCCTTACTTTCCTCCTCTGTGAAACAGATATCATTCCAGGGCATGCCCTACAATGTGACTGGACTGGGCTGGAAATGGTACCCAGCCTGTATAAGTGCTATTCATTAGCTAGTTCCTTTTTTTGTTGGTTTCATTTAAAAAAAATAATAACAATAAGAAAAAAAGAGCAAAGTACGTAAAAACCGGGGCTGAGTCCAATGCCTTCATTAACTAGCCATGCAACTTTAGCTGAGCTACTTATCTCCTGAAAACTGTTTCTTCACCTGCAAAATGGGAATGATCAGGACTTTGTAGGGCTCCCTGCGTTGGGAGGGCAGAGCCATGAAAAGCAATACAATGCATAGCACAGTCTACCTCTTAGTTGATGCTCTATGAAGGTTTGCAGCAGAGATGGATATTTTCCAGCTTATCTGGCCAAACACTCAAGTGAAGATACTTAATAAACTACAAAATTTTATATGCTAATGCCTTCCTATTTGAGGGAAGGAAATAATGATGTCAAGTACCTCACCAAAGGAAATTAATACAAAAAGCATACATAATTATTCAACAGGAAAAAATTATATATTGAAGACAAAAATAGAAAAATAAACTTCAGTTCACTCAGGAGCAGTCACAATCTGGCTGTGACTTCCAGACTGTCACAATAGATCTCGTCTTATGAATGTAATTATATCGTGCATGCTATCTCTTATTTAAAGATTGGTATCCTATTTCCCAGCTACTGAAAAGCATACCAGGCCGGATGAGGAAAGGCATTCCGTATTTGCCCTAGAATTTCATGACAGATGTATTTCTGCTCAACCTCTTGTTTAAAACCAGTGTGAGGTAGTCCACGAGTGTACTACCTCACAAAGGAACACTGAGGTGGTTTATTATCTACAAACCCTTGAAACTTCACTTCCCCCAAAGATCTACTGCCTATCTATTTTTGAAAACGAAAGAAATCAGAGGGAAAAAAAGCCATTTTGGTTCCATTAGGTTTGTAAGAGGATGAATGGGTGCCTGCTGGCAGGAAATTTAATGTAGTTAGGATGTGACTGAAGCAATCAGAGTGCATTTTTACTTTTGTTTGCATGACAGATTAAGCTTGCCTCTCTCACTGTTCTAAGCCTCAAACACCACTTCTAATAGCCTACACATCCTCATAGGGTTTGCAAATGAGGAAGAAAGGAGGTCTTTAAAATTGCAAATCCTCGCAAGTCAAATTTAGCTTTCCATAAGCCTTCCCTCTGAAGAAGGTGGGTACTTAACCCTTTGAAAGAAAGCATGAACTATCCAGTCAGGGCATATCTTCCAGACAAAATTAAGACACGTGTCTTCTCTCATATGTAGAAGTTGGGTCCAAATTATAAACATATAGGAAAATATATCCAGGGCCATATGCATATATCCACAGCTGACTAAGTATGGCCTAGTGGTATAATGCCTTTGAACAACTAACTTACAGTTTAACAAAATGAATGTGTTGAATCAAAACCTCTTTGTACAACTACTTAAGGGTAATATTAATTAATTAATTAATTGCCAGGAAGCTGAAACATGTTTTATCAGAGAAGGAGTGAAGTCAAACAAAGGGAGGGTAGATAAATGGAGAAAGGAAGGGTGGACAAACCTAGCCATAACACTCAATTGTATATATGAATGAAAATGGAACCAGGTAACTTGAGGGGTTTGGTGGGGTTGGGAGATATGGCAGATTCCCAAAGAAGGGGTGATATTGATCAAGATGCATTGTACTCACAAACTGATATATTGAACTGAAAATCCTTTGTACAACTACTTAAATATAATATGAAAACATCAGTGTCTTAAAATGTGTGTTTGATAAGTTTAATAATATAAATAATCATTAAGAAATGATTCCTAGAAAAAAATCTTCAGTTATAATTACATAAGTAGTTTATATAGTATCAAAAAATTAAGGTCTATGTGTGCTACTGCAAACTATAAAAAGCTGGTGGAGATAAACATGCATTCTTTTTCTTACCTTTGCACCCTGGATGGAGGTGCAAATATTCCATATCTTGGAGAACAACTAAAGTACTGCACACCTCCAACTGAACCATCGTTCTTTCCATGAGGTTTTTCAAGCTCTATACCATACCAATACCCTAGAACATGAAGATTGCATTTTAAAAGCATCAGCACTTTACTCAACATCATTATGCTTATCACATGAACCCAAGTCTTGATGGTTTAACATTTTCACAAATGATCAAAATGCTAGATCATCATGATCATTAAGCTTTCAAATGATAAAATTATAAAATAAAACTTGAAAATCTGAAAAGTGGCGGGGGTGGGGGGAAACATTTTACCAGCATAATTGTGGAGCAGTACATTAAGGGAGACAAATCAAATGTAACAGCCCAAATTTGCAAAGGATTAGCTATCACACAAGTAGGATACAATCAGAACATATCTCAAAACTATAATGAAAAAGAAACTGCCCTTGACTAATGCAGTGCCTCCACAAGAGTAGTATAATATAATACAGTGATATCTAAATCTTAAAATATATAAATCTCAATATTAGAACACCATAAAAGTTCTTGAATGACTTAAGAAGGACCAGAGATCATTGGGCTTGTGGTGCCCGTCCTGGGGCTTGCACTCAGGGCCTGGGCACTGTCCCTTTTTATGTTCAAGGCTAGCCCTCTACCACCTGAGCCCAAGCTCCACTTAACTCTTTGGTAGCTAATTGAAAATAAAAGTCTCAAGACTTTCCTGCCCAGGCTGGCTTTGAACCAGGTTTCTCAGATCAAACCATGATCCTCAAATCTCAGCCTCCTAAGTAAGTAGGATTACAGGCGTGAGCCACCAGTGCCCGACAGAGAGAATATTGTTAAAATATCACTGGTCATCATGGTGAGCCTGCTTTCTCTCTATTATCTTTTCATCTCAAGATGAAAAGAAAAATCACTTTTAGCCAAGGTGAAAAGACTTAAGTTAGCTAACAGGAAGAATTTTCAGAAAGGTTCTCAAGTATTTAAGGGGCAGACTCCAAGGGACGTGATGAGACTTCCTCACCTGGAGAGCTGAAAACTGAAGTAGCTGGGCTATGTGCTTCCCCCACACACTTGCAGAGCAAGAATTCTCAAGCTGGGGCTGGGAAGGTGGCTCAGTGGTAGAGCGCTTGCCTTGCATGCATGAGGCCCTGGGTTCGATTCCTCAGCACCACATAAGCACAAAGCAAAAAGCCGGAAGTGGCACTGTGGCTCAAGTGGTAGAGCGCTAGCCTTGAGCTGAAGAGCTGAGGGACAGCGCCCTGGTCCAGAGTTCAGGCCCCATGACCGGACCCCCCCCCAAAAAAAAAGAATTCTCAAGCTGAGGGTGCCTGAGAGGAGCTAACATGTATTTGCTCCTTCACAGTTTAAAAAGACAGTACAAAGCAGGGTGCCTGTGGCTCACGCCTGTAATCCTAGTTACATGGGGACAAACAACTAGGAGGATCACAGTCAAGGCCAGTCTAGACATAAAGCCAGGCCTTACATAAAAAATAACCAAAGTAAACAGGCCTGGGAGAATGGTTCAAGTGTACAGTGTCTGCCAAGCAAGCTTTAGGCCTTGAGTTCAAACCCCAAGACTGCTTAAAAGAAGAAAAACAATGAAAGCCAACCTTAAGTAATTCATTGTATCCAAGGAATCAAACCATTCTAGTCTTGTTTTATATAGTCAGAAAAAGGGAAATTTAAAGATACACGGTGATTGTGAAAAATAATCTACCTACAAGACTAAGTGTTTATATTGTTTCTTAACCAAACTGAATTACTGCCTGGAGACCTAAGGAAGCCATGGGTTATAAAACACACAAACTCGACTCAATGGCTTAAAATTAAAATCGGTAATAAGCAAACAAGACTATGTTGGGCCTCTGGGCATTGGTAGTTCCCACCTGTAACATTAGCTATTCAGGAGGCTGATATCTGAGGGTTGAGGTTCAAAGCCAGCACAAGCAGAAAGTCCATGAGACTCTTATCTCCAATTAAATAGCAAAAGAAAGGAAGGAAGGAAAGAAGGAAGGAAGGGAGAAGAAAAGAAAAGAAAACAAGAACAAAATGGTAGTAGCTTCAGTTCTGAGTTCAAGCCCCAACGCTGGAACCATTAAAAGACAAGAAAATAAGAATGTGTTGGATTTTGGTTTTTCATGGCTCTCTCATATCTCTTACTGTCTATAGTCAGACAGACGATCTGCCTTTGCCCCTGACTCTCTCTGGATGTCTGTGTACAGGATAGTCTCAGAGGACAGTCCTTCTCCAAAGCAAAAAGCAGTCGTGCTGAGCAATCAATTTAATGTAAATGTTCAGACACCTTAAGACCAGGGTTCCTGGTCTGGAGCATACACCACTGGGTGTGCAGGTGACACCTGGCCCTCTCTACCCCACACTGCAGGAATCTAAGAAAATACTAATACTCTTGCAGCTGCTATTGTCCAAGTACCTAAGACCTTGTCTCTGACCTAGGATTCTTATGTCTTCCAATAACATCTGTGAAACTGTGGCAAGCTAGTTTGCTAGCTTGCAAACAGGTTAAAAATCTCAGCTCCTTCCTGGTTCTTGGCAGAACGTTATACCACAAACACAACAACGACAATAACAACAACAAAAATCAATGTCATAGGTAATCTTTTTCCAAAATGCTGCAATGCCACCATGTGTTAAAATGGCATATTGCTATTTAAAACATACAAACAGGGCTTCATTCGACTGGCTTTTATTTACACTTATAATCCTTAAAAAATGCAAATGAAAGTAATCTTTACTTTGGGTAACACAGTAATAAGTATGTTGGGATGAATACAAAAATACACAAACATGTATTCTTTTTTAAGGTCCCATAGTCCACACGGGCTCTCCACACCACTCCGATAAGAGCTATACATTAACTCATTACCTACTCATTTGAAGTATTATCTTCAGAGAAAAACTAAGCCTGAAATACTTCCCTTGTCATTTAGCACAGTTGGAAATCAGTGAGCATTAACTTGGGAAATGACAGCTAATTTTAACATTAGCTAAATGGAAACACACTTGGCAAGGCAAATAGACAGGCGCCAGTCAGACTGAGCATCAACACTCTGAATTTGTGTCAGTTTCATAATTTCTGCGCTGCTGCTCTCTCCCACAAACCATGTTGACTGAGGAGTTTTCTATGATTACATGTGTGTGTGTGTGTGTGTGTGTGTGTGTGTGTGTACATGCACACATACCAGTACTGGGGCTTGAATTCACAGTCTTTAGCCCTCCCTTGGCTTTTCACTCAGAGCTGGCACTCGACCTATTCTTACACTTCCAGCTTTTGGGTGTTTAATTGGCTTTGAACCACAATCATCAAATCTCAACCTCCTGAGTAGCTAAGATGACAAACGTGAGCCACAGGTGCCCAGCTCTAGGATTACATTTTCTTTATCTACAAAATTTCAAATCTTTCATATTCTTAAACTTGAAATTGAACAAAGACTATTCAGATGCGTCACCTGGAGCAAAGTTTGTTGTCCCAAAGAATTTAACGGTACCAACTCTCTGGCCTACCACCAGCACTCGATCTCCAAGGTGGAGTTCTCCTTCGCGGCGGGGATTATTTGCTACAGATGTTGTTGAAGAATTCAAACCTGTGGAGGTGATAGGGGAAGGGGAGCAGGGAAAGAGAAGAGAAAATAAAGGGCAGACAACCTCAAAACACATTAGTCAAAAAAATCACTCTATATTCTAAGTAGTCTAGTTCGTTGGAGGTGTCAAACTTGGATGCCTTTTATAACATAATATTCATTGCATTTCTGACATGAGAGGTCAAAGCACTCAACGGAAACATTTAGTGTTTCTTGAGAAAATTATGGCCTAGAGAAATTCCTGGGTAAAGAATTCTTTCAGAATTGCTTATGAAGACATAGATAGTATTTTAGGGTTTGTTAGCCATACTTGTCTCTGTCATGGAGACTCAGCTCTACTGTTAAAAATAGATGTATACAATATATAAAGGGATAAGCATAGCATGTCTAATAAAACTTTATTTACAAAACAAGTGGGCTGAAGTCTGCCAATACCTATTCAAGGAAAGCACTAGAGTTAATGTGGTTCACCTGGGCTCAGCTTGAAGGATACACAGAGGAATGTGGTCCAAAGGCAAAATGGCTACTCGTTAAGTAGCCTGAATCTGAACATCTAAAATGCTCCAAAATCCAAAACATTTGAGCATAAAAGTTTAAATTCGCTCTCATATTGAGTTCTAATGCAAAAAAAAAAAGTATCAGATTTTGAAGCATCTCAGATTTCAGATTTTGGATTAGAGATACTCAACCAGTAAAATCTGTGCAAATATTCCAAAACCCAAAGGAAAAAAAAATCTAGAATCCCAAACATTTCTGTTTGCAAGCGTTCTGGATAAGGACTATTCAACCTATCACCAGTCCTAATGACCTAAAATGAAATCCTAATTTAAAAAAAAAAAATGTCTCCCCTCTCACATTGATTCAAAACCAAATCTTGGTGCCCCCTATGAAACATCACAAGTCCTAGAGAAATATTGCCTCAAACGCTGTCCGAATACAACAGCTGCCAGAAAAGAGGTGGGCCCCCAGCCTGGCCCTATGGGCACATCATCAGAGCCTGCACGGCCTCCATCAGGAGATGCCTTCCGGACCCCAATGAAGGCTTGGAGGGAGACTAAGTATGGAAAGGCAGAAAACAAAAACATGGAGGTACATAAACCTATGGAGAGGGTGTTCTGGATACAACTCCTGGCCCCTCCTAGTAGCTGCTATTCTGTAGTACCTCACAGTTTATGAAGTACTTTTCATAGGTGTTGGAATGATATGGTACATGCCTTCTATTCCAGCACTCAGGAGGCTGAGGCAGGATGAGCATGACTTCAAAATCAGTTTGGAATATATAGTGAGACCTTGTCTATAAAAAGCAAACTGGGGATCAGGAGATCAATGATAAATAAGGCACAACCTTAGGCTGGTGTTGAGAGTTTACAGGTGTCACACTCAGAACCTGAGACCAGAAATCCTCCCGTCTGTTCCCATGTTCTTGTAGACCACGGCCCAAAGACCCCAAAGTTCAATGGAAGCTCTACTCTAAAGCTGAGGCCCAGAGCACAGACTTCCCTAGCTGCCCCATTCCCCTGCTCCTTTCTCTCTGCTCCTCTGTCTTTTTATTTTTGTCAGTTGGGTTTGAACTCTGGGCTTGGGCACCGTCCCTGAGCTCTTCAGCTCAAGGCGAGCACTCTACCACTTGAGCCACAACGCCACTTCTGGTTTTATGGTGGTTAATTGGAGACAAAAATCTCACAGACTTTCCTGCCCAAGCTGGCTTTGAACCTCGATCCTCAGATTTCAACCTCCTGACGTGAGCCACTGACACCCAGCTCCTCTTTATAACATACATATTCACTATTGTCCACCCTATTGCTGTTCACAATTCCTCAGGTATACACATCTATTCAAAGTACACACGCTAAGAAAGTGTCTGAAGGAATGCCTCTGGGTTTCAAACATGAACTTTCCTTCCCACTTCTGATCTTTGCCCCATTCCCCCTTTGAGAGAAAGTCTTCTTTTCCACTGTTATTTAAGTCCACATAACCCCCAAATATATAAATAAATAAAACTACTTGCTATTAAAGGTAGAAAAGATAGTCTACACCCATATATAAATTTTAAACTCCAGCAAATGACTTTAGTCTGGAAGGCAAATGAAGGGACTTACAATATGAATACGGATGAAAAGGGTTGCTATGTGGTTGCGGATTATCACCTATGTTCTTCACAGTATTGAGGAGAAACTGCATACCTTAGTGTACAAAGGGGCATACTCTAGTATGCAGAGGGGCAGATACCCAGAAAACAACTATTCTGGGTAAACATTTCCAGGCCAAACTTCCAGGCCTCTACTTTTGGGATCCCAGCCTTAAGGTTTATTATATTTAAGGTTTATTATTATTATGTTTGCTAATGAAGGCAGGTGGGATTGCCCCACCTGTTTGCCCCACCAATAAGATTTGTTGAAGAAAAAAAAATTTTGCTGGGCAAGCACCAATAGATCTTGCCTGTGATACTTGTATTCAATAGGCTGAGACCTGAGAATTGTAGTTCAAAGACAGACCGGCAGGAAAGTCCATGAGATTCTTATTTCCAATTCATCACCAAAAAGCTGGAAAAGAAGCTGTGGCTCAAGTGGCAGAGTTCCAATCTTGAGCAAAAAAAGTGAAGGGACAGTGTCCAGGCCCTGAGTTCAAGCCTCAACACTAGTACCAAAAATAATAATAATAATCCTGTCATTAACATTTCATATAATAAAATATTGGTACAACGTTAGTTATCAGAAGTATTAGGAAAAAATAATCTGGTAATTATTGTCTCACAGAGAATAATTATGTCAAAATAGCTTCACTTGGATTTGGGAATTTAGCTCAGTGGAAGAGCATCAGCCGGGCAAGTAAAAGGCCCTAAGTTCAAGTACAAGGCCCTAAGTTCAGTCTTCATCTCTGCAAAGGAAAAAAAAAAGCTTCACTTTCTTTCTGGGTAAGTTTACATGTATAGGCAAGTAAGTGAATTATAAGAGATATGATCTATGTCGACTGCACAAAGTATCTCCTATGTATCTCCTGAGTCTTCACACAGAACTGGGAAGGAGTGGATGGGGAGATTCTACAGGAACCCAAGGCAGGTAAACACTCTGAACAGCTGAACAGCTGTTACTAGCTTCCTAGAAGGGGGCACCCTTTAGGATTTCAATTTTTTTTAAAAAAAAAAGAGGAAAAAAAACCAGACATTGAGGCATGTGAGAACACTAATAGGCAAAATGCAACAGCCCAAAACAAAACACTTCAGATGGGGCAAAAATCACTAAGAGCACGTTAGGTGACGATCAATGCAACATCTTCTACCCAACAGCAAAATAAATACTTGATTTAAGGCTCAAGAGGTGGGTGGGGGAGGGGAAGAGACAGGGAAGAAAGAAAGTAGTTCAGTCTGATTGAAGTAAAAGGTTCCTTTCTACACATGTAAAAACAGCAAATCTACTTACAAACAAACCAAGATTAAAAACACCAAGTAAGCCTGGTTGAAAAAGCCATAGATACCAGCACTGGCTCTGGAGGACAGAGAAGGGCTTTTGCTTGTGGTCTTCTTGCTACTGTTGCTTGAGTTCGTTTTCTTGGAGACATTCTGTTTATGTTCCAAAGAAGACGTGGAGGAGGAGCTGCTCATGGTTCCATGCAGGGAAACTGAAACAGAGGAGAAGAAATAGATATATATAGCATTACAGATGTGTGGAAAATAAGAAGTGAGCTACTACCATATTTTTTCCAGGCAAATCCTTCTGAAATATCCCATCTAAGTTTCCTCAATGGTGAATTTTCTAATGCCAAATTAAATGCCTGGTTTCATCCAAATATACTTTATACATAAAAGATTTTGTGACACAAGAGCTCGTTTTAAGCATTTACACTGTAACCTCACAATCTTAGAAGTGGATGCCACCATAGCAACTAATATTATCTCATCTAACCACCACCACCACTCAGGTGAGTAGAGTAAGGGAGGAGAGTAAAGATACCAAAAAATGTTATTTAGATGTTTTAAGGCAACAAATGTGTTAGGGGGTTTTCTTATGACGGTATTAGGGCTAGAACTCAAGACTTCACTCAGCTTTTTTGCTCATGTCTGGCACTCTACCGCTTGAGCCATACCTCCAGTCCCAGCTTTTTGCTAGTTAATTGGAAATAAGAGTCTGCCAGGCTGGCTTTGAACTACCCATTGAGTAGGTAGGATTATAGGCATGAGCCATAGGCACTCAGCTATGTTAAATGTTCTGAGTTAAAACTGAAGGCAAGCAGGAAGCTCATGCTCTGTTCATACAATGACTTGATAAATTTAGTTTATCAAATCAGTGTTGCCAAGACATTGAACGGTGCAATTTCCTTCCAGTCCCTCTTGGAAGCCAGCTCAGTAGTCCTCTAAACATACCTCTAAGAAACGCAGAAGATTTTATGTTCTTAAGGATATACATTATGGTGAATTGCTTAAGACATTTTCACTGGTGGTTTTTGCTGTGAATTTTCCCTAACTTTAAAACTTAAATGCAATGGCTTGCCATTGTATTATTAAAAGTTCCACAGGCAAACTGAACCTTAAGATCAGGGAGTTATGAATGGCATTACCATCTTTCTCGGTGGCTGCGTTGGGTTCCCTCCTGGGAGGCCCTGTCAGGGCACACTCAGAAGTGTTCTCTTTCTTTGATGACATCATTCCTGGGACACCAGAACAAAGAGAGTCTTGTTTAACATTGAGCACCAAATCTTATTTGTTTTCCTGATTATACATGCATCTCTCATTATCTGAATCTCAGCCACTTCTGAAAACACGCTGGATAATAACTTCACAGAAACCAAAATCTCATCAACCAGAGGAGAAAGAGGATGAAGAGATTAGGAAGACAACTCGGTGGTACCACATTTGCCTGGTACAGGGTCTGCCTGCTGTGCCCAAAACTGTGGGGGGAAAATGTAAGAGGAGAGCTGGGCACTGGTAGCTTACACCTGTAACCCTGGATACTCAGGAGACTGAGATTTGAGGCCTGCTGTTTGAAGTCAACCGAAAGTCTATGAGACTTTTATTTCCAATTAGCCACCAAAAAAAAAAAATCCAAAAGTGGTAGAGGTGTGGTTCAAGGGTAGAGTGCTAGACTTGAACAAAATAAGCCCCAGGACAGCATTCATGCCCTGAGTTCAAGCCCCCAGGACTAATATATATATTTATATCCATATATATTTATCCATATATATTATCCTGAATTCCCAGCACATATTAAAAAAAATCAATTTGCTAGGCATGATAGATCACACCTCTAAGCCCAGCTACTTGAGAGGCAGAATTGGGAAGATCATGGTTTGAGGCCAGCTAGGCAAAGGATTCACCAGACCTTATCAAATCAAAGAATGGGTACAGTAACACATGCCTGTCATCCCAGCCAATCAGGAAGACATAAATAGGGGAATTACTATCCAGGGTGACCCACGCTAGGAAAATAACAAAAGCAAACAGCTGGATGTGTGGCTCAAGTGCAAAGTATCGCAAACACATAGGGTCCTGGATTCAAACTCCAGCACTGTCAAAAAAAAATTATGACCCACTACAGATTTCCAAGTGAATCATCTGACATGGAGTTGCCTTGTGTTTGATACTTAGTGCCCTTGTTCTGTGAATTCACACAACACACCCTGCTTCCCTGGAATGCACACAAAGGCACTGGATAAAATAAAATAACTTTCACTGGTTATTTTAGCAACTTTTCACTTAAGCAAAGGTTTTGATGAGAAGAAATCCCACACTCTGCCACTGGAATTCTGAAAATGTCTCTCCCTCTCTAGAGCCACACCCAACTCCCACAAAAACTTCACTTGGGAGAAAAACACTTTGGAATAATAGGCTGATTTGCTAAGACTTCTGTTTCCATTGTACAGAAGAGAAGTTACTTAAAGAAGTGGCACAGACTACACTCAACTTTAAGTTCCATCCAGACATATTCCAATTCTACTCGTGTGTGAAATATTTCCATAAAGAACTGGACAGGGGACTTGAGTGCTGCAAACAAGACAAGGCGGCTCTGGGTTGTGGAGGACCTCTTCCACTTAACACAGCAGACAGACATCTTCGCAAGTAACTACAAGTGAGGGTGCTCTTCATCACAAGCACTAACACAGGAACATGAGGCAAAAACTGTGGCTCTCCTCTAAATCACATTCTGAAAATGGCTAGAATGCTGTGTGAGTGTGGTCAGGAAAAACTGAGGGTAAAGATTCTGGATAGGCAGAAAGAAAGAAAGCCTTAAGGAAGACACAGGGAAGCCAAAGGTCAGCAGCTCAGGCCTGAAATCCTAGAGGCTGAGATCTGAGGATTGCAGGTCAGAGCCAGCCTGGGCAGACAAATCTGAGACTCTCTTATCTCCAATTAAGCAAAAGGTCAAGTGAAAGCATACAAGACCCCCAAGCTAAAGCCCCAGTACTAGCACATATGCACGCACGCGCGCGCGCACACACACACACACACACACACACACGAAAGAAAAAAACAGAAGAAGAGGAGAGGAGGACAGGAGAAGTAGGTTCAGGAGGGGACAGGAGGTGAGGGACAGGAGGGGAGGGGAGAGGAGAGGGGAGGGGAGGAGAGGGGAGGGGAAAGGGAAGGAAGGGGTGAGGTGAGGGGAAAGAAAAGGGGAGGGGAAGGAAAAAGGGAGGGGAAGGGAGAGAAAGGAAGAGGGGAAGGGAGAAGAAGTGGGAGGGGAACAGAGAGGGGAGGGGGGAACTCTTGTAGGAAAGTAGTATTGAGTACACTGAAAAGAATGGCTGGCCCGAGCGAGGTTCTAGGTGCATAACATTCCTTCTTCCAGTGGGAAGGTCTAAAAAAAAAAATCTTCTAGCAGGGAGGCTAGATGCAGAGGCTAGGAAAAGGCACTATAGCACCCAGGGATGAGAAAGGATCTCAACTCCAGCAGAAAAACAGAATGATCAGGCAAAGTAGATTTATATTTTTTTAATATTGACGTTTTTCAGTTCTACCTGGCTCTGCTTTATTTGAATTTTTATGCAGATAACTGGCCTCACATGATGTTTTTATATAAAAAGACCCCTTTGTATATTTTACATAACCATAGGAAACTATCTCACCAGGTTGCTGACTAATCTCATTCATCCTATGTCAGGCTTACTTACATTCATGTGTGTGTATGTGTGTGCAAACACTCACACATGCATGTATGTGCAAATATACAGGTACACAACATTTACTTCTATTTTGGTTTTGTTGTTGTTGTTGTTGTTTTTAACAAGGTCTTGCTTGCATACATAACCCAGGCAGGCCTGGAACTCACTATGTAGACCAGGCTGGCTTCAAACTCACAATCTTCCTGCCTCCGCATCTCATACGTGGCTTGTATTTAATATCTTCTGTTTCTCTGCTGAATTTTTTTTTCTATTTGTGTCAAGCGTGTTCACCTTTAATTCTTGGAGCATGATTCTAATACATTCTGTAATGTTTGTATGTATGAATTGCAATGACCTTCTTATCTCAGAACCGGCATCCTTTGATTCTATAAAATGCACGGAATTCCCTACTTTTTCATCATTTGAGTAATGTTGATGATCCTGGGTAATGTGTAATGGGACAACGGGTAATATTTAAACGCTATAGAGGATCCTGATTTTATTCTGACTTTGTTTTTGCAGTCAGCCTGGCAAAGTCCAGGCGGGAAGTTCCCACCCACCTTGTCCCCATGTCACTTGAGCTTCCAAAGACATGGCAGTGATACTTGAATCCACCTCCTGTGCTAGCTACTGGCCAGACAGGGCCTGCAAAGGTCCTGCCCAGGAGACCAAGGCCTTTGGTCCTGCCCCACATGAGGGAGGGAACTCCTCTCATGATCTCCTGAGGGCTTTCCCCATTCTATCACACAATATTCTGGGACTGATTCTGCCTCTGGGGCCAAGAGGTGGGGAAAACAGAAGAAAAACCATGGGGGCCACTGTTTCTCCCTTCAGAGGCCAGGGCTGCCCTTCTTTGAGAACTCTGCTGCTGCTGCACCATGCTGGGTTGCTTAGGGACTGGGATGGGAGAGAACAAAAGAGAATGGGGTTTCCTGTGTTCTGTCAGAAAGGTCACCCCTTTCCTGCTCCTCAGGCCAGAAAGAGGGCTGCACTTGCACTGTCTACCCACGTGGTACCCACTGAGTATTTCCAGGTTCCAAGTTAAAAAGAAAGAATCATTGGCAGTATCATTAAAAAGTATACAAGACCTAGGAACAGATTGAACAAATGGTTAATATCTCAAGATGGAGGGAGGTAGAGATCAAAGAATGTGACATCTATATGAAGATGGCATAATGAGATGCACTAAATGCCTTTTGGAAAAGCTGAGGAGGAGTAAGAAGAGAGTTAGGGAACAGAACAGAGGGAGGGACCTTGTTCAAACAATAGTGCACACATCTACAGAATCATCACAACGAAACTGCCTTATATTGTTCATGTATGCTAGTTAAAAAGTCAAAAAATACTAAAAAAGAAAATACCTATAGAAAGAAAATCATACAATTATATGGAGATTTTTAATGGGATTAAATAGAAAAATATTCCAGCACATAATTAAGAGACTGGCTACTATAAACATGGTGGTTTTCTTCAAATTGAGTCAAGGCTTCAATGCCATGTCAATTAAAATCCTAACAGATTCTTGAAGGAAAAGAAGAAGAAATTTAACAACATATTCTAAAATTTAGAAGGAACTATATAAGGCCCCAAACAGGCAAGGTCATCTTCGAGAAGAAGGTTAAAGATTTTAGTGTAGTAGATATCAAGATTGTTTCTAGAGTAATTATGAAGCCCAGTAGTACTGGGGATATTCAGACAACCAAATGGAATGCAATGAAAAGGTAAGCCCCACTGTTTGGACACAACCCTTTCAGTATGGTGATGCGTTCCTATTTCTACTACAATCACATAGCACCTGTTTTGTGCTGCATGCTCCAGTGGAGATAAAAGCATACAATAAGCTCATAGTTTATTTCAAATTTAAAATTCAGAACCAGGTACCTTGGCTCATGCCTGTAACCTAGCTATTTAGTAGGCTGAACACTGCAGGAAAATAGATTGGGACCAGCTCAGACCCATCAAAATCAGACCATCTTCACTATTACAGGACGCAGAAATAACAAGTTGGCGTGGTGGGGGGTGGGGGGGTGCCCGGGAGGTGAGATCCCACTTAAAATTTAATAAAAGCAGCCAGGCACCAGTGGCTTACACTTGTAATCCTAGCTACTCAAAAAACTGAGATCTGAGGACTGCAATTCAAAGCCAGCCTGGGCAGGAAAGCCTATGAGACTCTTCTCTCCAATAAACCACCAGAAAACCAGAAGTGATACTGTGGCTCAAGTGATAGAGCGCTTGCCTTGAGCTGAAGAGCTGAGGGACAGCGCCCAGGCCCAGAGTTCAAAAGCCCCATGATTGACAAAAATAAATAAATAAATAAAATAAAAGCAAAAAGAGGACTGGGGATATGGCTCAAGTGATAGGGCATTTCCCAACAAGCACAAGGCCCTGAGTTCAAACTCTGATAACTGCAATCAACCAACCAATCAACAGTTTAAAATTCTGTTAAGAAAACATTAGGTGCACACAAATAAAGCTCCCAGTAGACAAACTGACAAATTTTTGTGCAGGACAGGCAAAAAATGCAGTTAGAGAAGAAAGGTGTTACTCAAGTTCTGATTAGGGGAGAAAAGAATGGCCAGGCCCCTCCCTGGCAAAAGTCACAGCCCTACAGGCAGAGAGCAAGGTAAGGATACGCAAACACACAGAGAGAAGGGAGGGGAGGAGCCACAGCTCAGCTATAGAAGCAGAAAGAGGCCTCCCCAGCATGGGCAAGGGACTCAGCTCGCGGTGTTTCATCACAGCTCTGAGGACAGAGGTGGATGAGATATGGTGAGAGCAGGGAAGAGACCCAGCTGAAATATTCTTGTCAGAACTGAAGTTACTAATCCTGATTGGCTGAAACACACAAAGGTACAAGGCTTTATTAAATTCTGACCTCTCAGCATGCTCACAAGAAGAATTAAAAACAAAAACAGCAAAGCACTCTAAGGATTAGGAATCTCACAAGTAAAATGCTGAAGATCCTTAGCCTTCTGGTTTAACCTACCAGAGTTCACTTTTGCGGCGACAGGAGCCACATCCACCTTCAGGGACCTGGTAAGAGGCACAGCTTTTGTGGAAGAAGTGTGTGTTATGTTCTTCCTTCGGTCTTTTGCTTTACTTATCTTTGAGAGAGGTGCAAAAATACCTAAGGGATAATGTACAGTGTTAGTTAGAATTACACAGCGAAGAGCATTTCTGGGAAAGGGGCAAGTGTAACTGTGTATTGACAAACCTTATGGTGCCTAGTACATATCCAGGTGACAGACAGCAAATCAGAGCAAGAGACACATGACATTTACCCCCAAAGAGCTTACAATCTACTTGTCCAGATTCACACACATTTCATCACTCACATCAATTTAAGAAGCACATGCAAGATACATGGCCAAGTGTTGAATGAAATTGGGAGGAAAGAGAAAGAAATTAAGGTAACCATTTTCTGTTATATCTAAGCTTTGGCAAATAACAGTGGACTATGTATTCTTATGTTACTGATGGTGGTTATGGGGCTTGAACTCAGAGCCTGAGCACTGTTCCTGAGCCTCTTTATGCTCAAGGCTAGTGCTCTACCACTTGAGCTACAGCATCACTTCCAGTTTTTCAGTGGTTAATTGCAGATAAGTCTCATGGAGACTTTTCTGCCTGGGCTGGTGATCCTTAGTTCTCAGCCTCCTGAGTAGCTATAGGATTACAAGTGTGAGCCACAAGTGCCTGGCAATTAAAAAAAAAAAAACTTAATCAGGTGCCAGTGGCTCACACTTGTAGTGAGGGGGGGAAGGGAGCGAGGGAGGGTACTCTGTGACTCTAATCTTCCCCAAAAGATCTAGCCCTCAATTCTTGACAATGGTATGTGTATGTGTCCTGTGGAGACACAGAGGGACAGAATGAATGATCTACCACAGCTACAAGATTAGCATTTCATTAAAATACACTTTACCCAGGCAAGAAAACAAAGAAAGAAGAAACAAACAAGAAAACAAAACCTAACAAGGTTATGACTAAAAAGCAATACTAACAGTTGTATAATAACTTGTTAAAACAGAGTAGAGCTGCTCAAAATGCTACAGAAAACTGAACATTCTGTTTACAGCTAAAAAATAAAAATAAAATAAAAAATGGCAGCGAGCCAGGCCCAGTGGCTCAGGCCTCTAATCCCGGTTACTGAGGATCAGGAAGATGACAGCTCAAGACCATTCCAGGCAAAAAGACAGAGGTATCATCTCAACCAACGAAATCAGGATGAAGTGGCATGTGTCTATCATCCCAGCTATGCAAGAAAGTATAAACAGGATGCTTTGTGTCCAGGTCAGTCTGGAGATAAACATGAGACCCTTCTTCAAAAATAACAAAAGCAAAAGGGGCTGGTGGCATGGCTCAAGTAGTAGAACTCCTGCTTAACAAGGAGTTCAAACCCTAGCGAAACAAAATAAAATGGGCTGGGAAGGTGGCTCAGTGGTAGAGTGCTTGCCTTGCATGCCTGAGGCCCTGGGTTCAATTCCTCAGCACAACATAAGCAAAAAGAAAAAAGCTGGAAGTGGCGTTGTGGCTCAAGTGGTAGAGTGTTAGCCTTGAGCTGAAGAGCTGAGGGACAGCGCCCAGGCCCAGAGTTCAGGCCCCACTAACGAACCCTCCCCAAAAAAATAATAAAATAAAATAAAAAGGTAAGAAGAAAAAAAGTACCACTATGCTACTTTTCTGCTAGCCTTAAAATCTCTCTTCTTGGCATCCTCTACTACCTTACCCTGATTTTCTTACCTTTCTATTTTTTGCTCATTTGCAATTTTCTCTATGTTGCCTATCTATAAGATTTTTTTTCTTTGACTTTGTATTCTTTTTCTACATTCCTTTCATGGATGTTTCTTATTTTGAAACATCGGCTCTCTTTTGAGAGCACTATGTAAAAATGCATGTGAAGCTGGGCACTGGTGGCTCATGCCTGTAATCCTAGCTATTCAAGAAGCTGAGATCTGAGGATCCCAGTTCAAAGCCAGCCCAGGTAGGAAAGTCCATGTGACTCTTATTTCCAATTAACCACCAGAAAACCAAAAGTGGTGCTGTAGCTCAAGTGGTAAAGCACTGGCCTTGAGCTGAAGAGTTCAGGGACAGTCCCATGACTAACAAGAAAAAAAAAATGTGTGAAATGGCAGGAAGCTTCATGAACACTGGATGCTACAGGAGAACAGATTGGGACACACTTGTGCATGATAGACTTTCAGAAGGAAATCATGCAAGTGTGCAGAATTTTCACAAGTAACATTCTTTTTGAGGTGTGCTGATGCTAACTCTACATCTGAGACATGTACTTGTGCTATATAAAATTCTTTGTCCTCAAAAATGAATTTTCCCTTACTATCCAGTTATTCATGTCAATCAGTGAGAAATTTCCCTCAGACGCTGACATCTATAAAGTTCACTAAACACACACACACACACACACACACACACACACGAAGGGAAGAATTATTTTTTAAAAGAAGAGCAACGCTGGGTGCTGGTGGCTCACACCTGTAATCCTAGCTACTCAGGAGCCTGAGATCTGAGGATTACAGTTCAAAGCCAGCCCGGGCAGGAAATTCTGTGAGACTCTTATCTCCAATAAACCACTAGAAAACCAGAAGTGGCGCTGTGGCTCAAGCAGTAGAGCACTCGCCTTGAGCTGAAGAGCACAGGGACTGTGCCCAGGCTGAGAGTTCAAGCCCCATTACTGACAAAAAAAAAAAGAAGAGTAATAAATTTCCACACAAATGCAGCCCTTTTAACAAGTTTAACTCCAATTCCTCCCAAACTCCCATTAAAAATAACAATACGGTATTTTTTTTTAATAGCATGAGCTTTAAAAAGCTTCTGAGCCAGGCACCAGTGGCTCACACCTAGAATCCTAGATTCTCAGGAGATTGAGATCTAAGAATCACAATTCAAAGCTAGCCCAGGCAGAAAAATCTACAAGACTCTGATCTCCAATTAACCATTCAGAAATCAGAAGTGGAGCTGTGGCTCAAGTGGTACAGTGCCAGCCATGAGAAAAAAAAAAATCCTAAACAAGAGCTTGAGACCCTGAGTTCAAGCTCCAGTAACAACACACACACACACACACACACACACACACACACACACACACACACACACACACAGATTCTGAGGACAGTTAAAAAAAAAAAGTCAAAGAGTTAAGCCAGATTTTGAAACTTCTGAACAGCTGCACTGAAAGTTCACGAAGCAGCTGACAAATTCAGGTCCAAACTTCTGTCCTCTGCCCATAGCCACGCCCACTTCTTTCCAGGTTGTCTGGTTGTTTATTCTAACAGCAGAGATGAACAGTCTCCACAGAGGCTACCGAGCCCAGAAATTACTTACCATCTAGCCCATTCCAGAAAGTTCGTTAAACTCTACCTGAGGCAAGCTTAGCACCTTCATAATTCTTGTTTTTCAAAGTAAAGTTACATAAATATATTTAAAGTATAAAAAGGGGAAATCACAGCTCTGGGGACCATCACACAAGAGTTTGATTACCCATATTCATAATCCAGATGTTTATAGAACCCTTCTTCTACAGGGGTACAGGGGATAAGGAATTTTAGGGGGTTACTAACTCTTAGGGGAACTCAGTGGATGTGGAGGATCACCTTCATATCACTACAGGAATATGTACTCCAACCCCAAGGACTGTATCAAGTGCGAGGTAGAAATCAATATCTTTTTATAATGGAGGATCTCAAAACATTTTACCTCCTATGAGTCCTCTGTCAGAAAGCTACTGAAGGAAGTACTCCACCAAACAACTAAGCAAACCAAGAAATAACTGATTTAGAAAAGTAAGAGCTCTAAATCTTTTCTCTTCAGGGTATAAAGTCAGTAGATATCTAAGATTGGGGGGAAAAATCAAGAAAAGCACATATAAATTTTTTGATTATAAACACAGATATTAATATCAGAGATTCAGCTGACAAAGTTGAAAAAGTTCTTGCCTCTAAAAACAAGCTTCAGAAAACAAAGAAAATGGTTTTATTTTAACAAGCGGCAGTACACAATTTGACTTATCAGATTAGTTGCATGTATTTACTTTGGTAATTATTTTTTAAACATAAAAATAATATTACCATCAAGAATTAATATTTATTATAAGATGCCTATAATGCCAAGAGCTGGTGTCTCATGCCTGTAATCCTAGCTACTCAGGAGGCTGAGATCTGAGGATTACAGTTGAAAGGCAGGAATGTCTCCAATTAACCACTAGAAAACTGGAAGTGGCGCTGTGGCTCAGGCAGCAGAGCACTTGCCTTTAGCTGAAGAGCACAGGTCCAGAGTTCAAGCTCCATGACTGACCAATTTAAAAAAAAAAACAAAAAACCTTCTTGGACTAGGAAATCTATCAAAGTATGAAAGCAATATAATAATTGATAAATTCAAGAGCAGTGACTCACACTGATAATCCCAGTTGCTTATTAAGTAAAGAATGGGAGGATCCTGGTTCAAGGCCAATCCAGGCAAAAACAGAAGACTTTATTAAAAACTAACTGGAGGGGGTAGTGCTGTGGCTCAAGTGGTAGAGCGCGTGCCTTGAGCTGAAGAGCACAGGGATAGCGCCCAAGCCTGGAATTCAAGCCCCATGACTGACGAAAAAAGAAAACAACAACAACAACAAAAAATTAACTGGAGCTCAAAAGGGCAGTAGGCATAGCTCAAATGGTGGAGCATCTGTTTAGTAAGCTCAAGATGCTGAGATCAAACCCCAATCCCATTAAAAATTTATAAAGGAAAAGTCATTCAACTATATGAAACTGCATCCCAGAACACTGCAAATGAAGTTCAAAGGCCAATGTCAAAATACAAAAACACATCTATAATAAATATTGGAGCTAATATCTTAAATATGAATATTTTCAAACTCTGAATAGTTTTCAAAGCACTAATATTTTAATTTTAATGAATAATATTTTAATTTTAATGACAAGTACCCAAATAACACATACAAATGGCAGAACAGCAAAACTTTTTAGCCTTCTCTCCCCCCACAATGTGAAAAAATAGGAATCCAAACACAGACATTTTCACCTGTTAAATTGATAAAAGTTAAAGGAAGTGGAGCCATTAAGGTCACATGTTCAAAAACGATTTCAATATTTGGGGAAAATCATAACTATATGCCATGTAAAATGTAGAATAGAAAACTTCTGCATACATAATCCAAATTCTGAAAAAAATTAATGTATAGGTGGTCATTTTCTTGTTTCTTCTCTTTTTTTTTTTTTTTGGTCAGTTGTGGGGCTTGAACTCGGGACCTGGGTGCTGTCCCTGAGCTCTTCAGCTCAAAGCCTGGGCGCTGTCCCTGAGCTCTTCAGCTCAAAGTGAGTGCTCTACCACTTGAGGCACAGCACCACTTCACTCGTTTCTTCTTTTACATGCTTTTCACCCCTTAAGGCATGGACATTTTATAAACAATGCTTTTCAAGTTAAACTCCATCCTACATGAGGGACATGTGTCAGGAAGAAGTCAATCATTGAGGTGAGTTTGTAACCGTTGGCCAGCAGCTAGCATTGGTCAGGTGCTTATGAGGTATCAACACACCTTGTCCCGACCTCACACTGCTCCTAGTGAGAACCCGGGTCACCCACACTGTCAGCTCCAGATTTTACTGCTGAGAACATCCCGTCCTGCCTGCCCCTGCCCGACTCAGCATTGCATCACAAATGACCGATGTCATCATCAGAAATGACCGATGTCATCATGATCTCCTGCTTCAACTTCCCACGTGTGACCTCACACTTCTCTCCCAGGCCATCTTACATCCCACCATTCATCTTCTAATCCCTTCCTCACTTTGCCCACTTCCTTCTGTGGCATGTTCAAGAAAATAATAACCTTGGTGAAACCAACACCTATACTAACACCCTTTAACACCACTGGAGAAAAACAGCTGGCCTTACACACTTGGTACCCTAAGTCCTATGACTGCAACCGCCCCCCCACACCACACACACACACTCAGCCAGCTTCTACCTGCCCTCTCCTCCCTCTGCATCTCCAATCTTCTTTAATTTCTCTTTAACTTCTAACGACCTGCCTCTTTCCTGACATCAGCAAAGACCTCCCTTCTTATTTTCTGACAAAATAGGAAGTCAAAAGAGGATCATGCAGGCTGCTGGTGGTTGCCTGTGATCCTAGCTATGCAGGAGGCTAAGATTTGAGGATTTCAGTTGAAAGCCAGCCTGGGTAGGAAAGTCCATGAGATTCAAATCTCCAATTAAGCAGCAAAAAGCCAAAGTAGAAATGTGGCTCAAGTGGTAAAGCATTAGCTTTCAACAAAAAAGTTCAAAGACAGTGCTCAGGTCCTGATTTTAAGCCCTAGGACTGGCACGAAAGAAAGAGCAAGCGGGAGGGGGGAGGGAAGATTAACAGAAAGAGAGTGAGTCATGTGGTCTTCCCAGATTACTCTCTTTTGGGAGGGTGAGCTGGGACTGGCACAATGGGAGACAATCTCTAGGTGGAATTCCACCCTTCTAGTTTCTCAAGGGCTTTCCTCCTATGAATTTCCTTTCCTGCACTGTCCATGTTTCTACTTTCTATCATTCTTACCAGTGTGAATAAATGTGCTATGCCATCGCCATGTTTAGGAAAAATCTTCCCCTGGTTCTACAGGCCCCTTCACTCACCTCCTGAGAAACAGGGGACACATTTTATTTAAAAACTGTAAGATAGCCAGGTGCTGGTGGCTCACACCTGTAATCCTAGCTACTCAGGGGGCTGAGATCTGAGGATTGCAGTTCAAAGCCAGTCCAGGCAGGAAAGTCCATGAAACTTTTATCTTCAATAAACCACCAGAAAACCAGAAGTGGCGCTGTGGCTCAAGTGGTAGAGCACTTGCCTTGAGCTGAAGAGCTGAGGGACAGCTCCCAGGCCCAGAATTCAAGTCCCACTACCGGAAAAAAAAAACCTGTAATATCTTACAGACCAGGAAAGTAGCTCAGGGTTAGAATGTGCTTGGTATATATCAGGCCCTGGGTTTAATCCTTAGCACCATCAAAAATAAAGAAACTATGAAAGAATAAAATTTGATTTTGCTTCTTTAATTTGTATTTAGTTACATAGTATCCATCTTACCATACTTGGGGGCACATTTGAAGTACTGGACTTTTCCAACACTTCCATTATTTTTGCCTTCTGGCTCATCCAACTCAATGCCAGCCCACTGGCCATTTGCAAATTCAGTTGTTCCACAGAATCTTAATGTACCAATCTAAAGAAAACACAGGTCAAGAGAAGCTTTAATATGAATGATTCTAAGTGTCTTCCTTTTGGCAACTTTATCACAGAAGTTTTTAAAAAAAACTCAAAGCAAACCTTGGAATAAGGAACATTACCATAGATAAAAAGGAGATATTAAATAATGACAGAGCCAATTCACTAAGAAGACATAATTATCCTACATGTGTATGAACCCAACAAGTGACCTTCAACACAAGTTCTTTATCAATAGAACTGAAAGGGAGGAATCCACACTGTATTCGGAGACTTTACTCGCCTCTCTCAGTGAGAAACAGATTAAATGGGCTAGAAGATCAGTAAGACTGTAGAAAAACTAAGCCATCTATTAACCAAGTTGACTTTACTGACATTTACTGACCACTTCACCCAAAGCAGAAGAACATAAATGTGAAACATACAACTATATGTTGTCATACTAGACTAGAAATGTTAGACTAGAAATCACTAACAGGAAAAATATACAGAAATCTCCCAAATATTTGAAAATGAAAAGACATACCCCTAAATAAATCATAGGCAAAGCCAGGCACCAGTGGCTCATGCCTAGTTACTCAGGAGGCTGAGATATGAGGATCACGGTTCAAAGCCATCCTGGGCAGGAAAGTCTGTGAGACACTTATCTCTAATTAACTACCAGAAAACTGGAAGTGGTGCTGTGGCTCAAGTGGTAGTGCTAGCCTTGTGCTGAAGAGCTCAGGGACAACACCCAGGCCCAGAGTTCAAGCCCCTAACCAACTAAATAAATAAATAATCATAGGCAAAGGAGGAAAAAATAACTACAAAGGAATCTAGAAAGTATTCTGATCAATAAGTATTCAATCAATAAACACATACTCAAAATCAGCAAAAAGTGAGTAAAGATTTTTTTAATGAAAAGCAGAAAAATAAGAAGAAAAACATCAACCGTTCTCTATTCAAATAGTTTAT